AACACACACACACACACATACACATACACATATACACACAGACACATACACACCCACAAACACACACATACACATACACACATACACCCACACACGCAAACACACACACACACACACACACATACACACACACGCACCGACACGTGGCCACTCATCAATCACCAGTGATCTTCTACCAAAGTCTAAGAAAGCACTCACCTTTCCCAAAAGCGATCTCAATGTCCACGCTGTGTATATCACTGCTCGTGTCCTCCACGAACTTGAGCGGGATCACCTCACTCCACATGCGGAAGGCCAGGTCAATGGTCGCCCTCTGGTCCTCCACAGGGATGCGCGTGCTAAAACCAGTGGTGAGCAGACGCCAACGGACAACGTCCTTGTTGAAAAGCTCTCCGTTCTCGCCGATATACTTCCCCAAGGGGAGGGAATTGGGAGTCCATACATGAACAGATCGCTTTTTCCGCTCGCGGGCCGTGTATTTATGCAACAGTCTTCTCTTACCTGTGACGTCACGCTTCAGTCTCTGCACGTACTCCTGTAAATGTCTTCTGTGAGCGCTCTGTGGGCGGCTGGTGGGTTTGTCCCCGGCCAGAAGTTTGTACAGTTGGCTGGTGGCCCCGCGGCGGGCGGACCGCCTCCACAAGCGATGGCCGTTGGAGGTGGAGGAAAAATTGTCCTCCCCGTCGTCCATGACGGGTGAGTGCTGGTTGTTGTGATGGTGCGCGCGAGCTGCCGTCTGGCTGTCCGTCACCAGGACATTCAGGGCCTCCTCGTCTCCCAGAGGCGCGCTCTTATCCTTCTCGCTGTCCTTGTTACCGCACCGGGAGGTGCTCATGAACGACTTGGTCTCCTCGTCTAGCTCGCCTGTCTCCGGCAAATTGTACGTCCTCTGGTAGTTCCGGATAGCCTTCTGGACCTCAGACTCGTCGCAGGTCTCCTCCCCGCCCTCCTCCACCATCGCCAGGCTGGACAGGAAGCTGCTGAAGTGTGACGTCATGGCCCGGTGACGGGGATGAGTTGCTTCCCGCCGTCTTCTGGTTACGTGACAACGCAGATAGCCGTACTTGGACAGGACGAACTGAAACAACAAGGGAGAGAAACGTGATGAGAAAATAGTTGTTGAGTTGTTGTTTTTTTCGTTCTTTGTTGTGCGTGTTGTTGTTGTTGTGGTTGTAGTTGTTGTTGTGGTTGTTGCTATTGTTGTTGTTGTTGTGATTGTTGCTGTTGTTGTTGTGGTTGTTGTTGTGGTTGTAGTTGCTGTTGTTGTGGTTGCTGTTATGATTGTTGGTGTTGGGATCGTTGTTGTTGTGGTTGTTGTTGCTATTGTTGTTGTTGTTGTGATTGTTGCTGTTGTTG